AGATTTACATTTGGCCTAACAGAAATCTAAAGCACTAAGCAAATAGGTCATTTAAGTACAAAGTTTAAATTACCCTGGAGACTCAACAGATAGAACAAGACTCTTCTACCTGGTAATGCTGAAATTTGCAATAATTCTAAAAAAAAAAAAGTCTATTATATTCAGAATTACATGTCTTTGCAACCAGGGAACAGGTACCATGGCACTTCCAAAAGCCTTGCAGCAATGGCTTACACAAGATCTCAGGAACGTTTTGTCACAGCGAAGTTTACTCCATTCCTCGGAAATATTAAACGCATTCCTCCTATAATGAAACACCTTATAAACACCACGTGACAGAAACACGGAGTTTAACAAAGCATTTCCTTCCAGCATCATAACATTTAGGGCCCCACCAAGGATTTTATTACCAAATAAGTAGCCACACAGTAAGTTGGAGGCTGGCAAACCCACCTCGTGCCGGCAGCGCAAGAGGACCCAAATGCAAGAAGCATCAGCCCGAAGCACTGCCACCCACAGACTCCCACCTAATGCTCGTCAAGCAGCTTCAAGTACTCCGAGTCTTCAAGATGTCATATCTAACATTAAATACAATTTTAAGCACAACCCCGTACAACAGCAGCAATTCCCGGTGCTCGTTGGCAAGTCATTCCCATTTCAGACAACGTATTTGGGATGTGTTGCCCATAGCACCGAGTTACACCACAAATTCCCTAAGATACGGCCGGGAATTAGGACGTTTTGTCCAAAGCCACTGTTTAATAAAACCCTTTTTGCCAAGCAACAATGGGTTGGTTTGCACTTGCCATAACAGAGGGCTATTTAACAGCAGGGCTGCAGCGTTCCGGGGGGTATCTGCACCGCTTCAGCTCTGCCGGCCTCTCCAGAACACCGCTCCTCAACAGATATAACAAGTACAGCATTGTAATTTAGGGGTGGCCTGGGGTTTCAGCTTATTTTAAGGTCAAAGCTCCTACCCGGTTACCTTACTTCCAAAGAAGTCATCCAGCTTTGTCAGCTAAATGAGAAACCAACATTTGGTACAAATGCTCTGATGTTACACAGGCATTTCAAATACTAAAATTTCTAAAGTTAGAATCACAGGATGGTTAGAGTTGGAAGGGACCTCAAGGACCATCCAGTGCCACCCAAAGCCCTGGGCAGGGACACCTCCCACCAGCCCAGGTTGCTCCAAGCCCCCTCCAACCTGGCCTTGAACCCCTCCAGGGATGGGGCAGCCACAGCTTCTCGGGGCAACCTGGGCCAGGCTCTCACCAAATTCTACAATTCTTACCTGTTCTACTCTGAAGAACCCTATTTTAAAGGCTACAGTAAAGAGAAAAGATATTTTTGAGCTGGATAAACTTTTATTGGATCCAGTGATGCCACCTCCCTCCAAGAGAAAGCCCAGGTTTGAAGCTCAACATGCTCAAAACCTCCACATCCAGGATCCTGCTCCCTGCTGCGTGGTGGGGAAAAAAAGAAAAGGCTCAACTCCCTTTTTGTGCACTTTGTTTTAAAATATCAACTACCTCAGTATTTTCAACACCTCACCATTACAAAGTCCAGAAAGAATGACAATGGGCAGTGACGTCACAATGATGTCATTGGAATGCTCCAGAAAAAGGTGACCGAAAAGGGGAAGTGAAGCCAACTCAGAAATACTGAAATGGCACAAACTTGCACCAAGGGGAACACACATCAAATGATTCCCTGTGTAATTACCGTGATACAATGGAAGCCATGCTCTGATCTGAGGCAGGGTTTAAAAGTCCCAGCAAATCAACAGCACAAGGTGAAGGGACTTATTCATACCCCTAGTTTTGCATTCAGGGAGGAAGGGGAATTTTTGTTGCCAGACTATGAGCAAAAGTGCTACATATTTTGCAAAAATCAACATTAAACACCTGAAATCCAACTTATGCTCAGACAAGAAAGAGTAAACACAAAATATCCTGAATACTGGAGTTCTGAAAACTCCTGAGGTCACTGCGAATTTCAGTGGTCTTAGAAGACCAAGCAATAAAAAGAAGGTAACAGTTTGGTGCCAAGAGGCCATCTTCAAGTGTCCATTACAGGCTACAGTGCAAATTACAGCCTCTCGAACCAGTAAATTCACCCCAAGTCAGCTACTACTTCTGCAAAGTCTTCCTCGGATCAAATCCCTGTCCTGAGAAGTTCATGTTTTTCGTATACAGCTTGTATTCAGAAATGACTACAGGGCTGGGAGAATGAATTTAATTCAGTCCCTCCAAGCAGTATTACTACCAGCTAATAAACTGTTCAAGCACAGTGTTTTAATAGGGACAAAGGCCATTCAATACGGCCAGCTGTACCTGCCGCGGCTCAGATATCCCCTTGCAGACACTTCATGTGGCTCATTGATACCTTTTCCTCTCACTGCTGCTGCAAAGCTGATCAACTGAAAAAAACAAAACCCTATTGATACCTTGTTTCTGATCAGAAAACAGCAACTTTGCTACTTAGAGGATGCAACTGAAGTTTTCAGGTATGGGAACTTCTGGATTACATCCTCACTTCAGCAAGTTCCCAAGCACTAAGAAACGCACCCACAGCCATCATCCTCTGACACCAAGAGCCCAACACAGACACACAGAGACCAAAGCCACCCCAGGACTCAGCTGGAACAAGTGAATCACAGCGCTGCAACCGAGGATCCGCAGCAGGATCCTGAGCCAATGTGACTCCAGAAAAGGTTTACTGAACCAGAAAAGCAGCAGCAGCAATCCTGGTTGGGCGCCAGAAGCAAGGAAATAAACAGAACAGAGCCCTGGAAGATTTCACCACCAGCAACAGAAGCTGGGATGAGCAAATACCGAGGCACCAACTGAATTGGGTTAACTTACCTCTGAACAGACTGGAAATCTAAAGGCAGTAAGCTGGCATTTAAAAGCAATTCGGAGCAACTGAATGTTTTCCTACCCTCTTCTGACACATTCCAGGGCTTCAGCTGATTTTAGGTCCTGAGTTTACCCAGGACATTGTGAACAAACTGGCTTCCTGCACTCTGCTCTGTTAAACCAGGAATAACTACTGCAAACCTAACGCAAGGAACTAAAGAAGGACAGGCAGCCACAGCGGTTCTGTGTAGGTGGTTGCGAGGCTTCTGCAGAGCCCAGTGCAGCCAAGTCCACCACAGGGTCAGATCTCCCACCACCACTCCAGGGACAGGAGCAGAAGAAGGGTCTCTTGACCTACATCAACTTCTTTCCACCAGTTGTGCAACTCAGAGGTCAAGTACACAAGTGGTACAGCTCAAAGTTAGTATAAAACGGGTGGGAGGGAGGGAGGAAAAGCCACACAGACCAAAACCCAGGACTTTGTCTAAGAAATAAGTTCATGAAGAACATGTAGACAAGTCCACCGTTCCACCGGGTCAGGAAAATGCATGAGCAGAAACACTCACTACTCCTCATGGGCAGGAACTTTTCCACCACTCGCGCAAAAACAGGACAAATGGTAGAAGCTGTTCAATACAATCAGTTCAGATCGTTATTTTCACTGTTTTAGTCATTAAATACAGACTCATCGTTTTAATCGTTGTTTCAAGGAGTAAAAACTTTTAAGTTATCAAATATTTGTGTGCCTGCTTGCCATTTGTTTCCCTCCCTATATTAGGATCAGTAACTGGTAGCAAAGAAGCATCCGTACTTAACCACGAGATCATCTTTAACTGCAGGGTAATCAGCTAATCTAGACAAGACTCCTTTATTCAGCTTTACATACACAGCACTATTATTAAAGTCATAAACTTTAATTTGACTCAAGAACTGCCATTTACTAATTTAGTAGGCAAATACTTTTACGGTTGTTTGCATCAAGCTCCATATAAACTACAGTGGATTTACAGCACATAAAACAACATTTTAAAGCTGCTATTATGGCCACTGTAGAGCAGTGAATAGTTGGGCAAATGCATTCACTAAAGTATCTCGTATTTAAACGGATTTACCGAGACCAGAAGTACACACAAGCAGCAAAACAACTGCTTTCTGGGCACTGTTATGTCCTTCAATATTTAACATCCACAGATTTCACTGCTCCTGTTTGCATATTGGAAAAGGAGAAGCGTTTTCTATTTACTTGCTATAACTCTGAATAACGTCAAGTAAACGGGAACAAAAGAAAACCCACGCACTCTGGTCACCTGCAGAAAAAGTGAATGGCATCAGAAACTTTGCGGGAAGCTGGAGCAAAACCCTGCCATAAACATTTAGAAAGGGATGTGAAATAGTTTCAGTGGCTTGATATTTTCCAAAAGCTCAAGAGCCAACAGATAAGACTTTCATCTGCAAACAGTAAACGTTGTTTTGAACTCGATTTCGATGTTTAAGCAGCCTGCTTAAAAACCGGGGGTAAAAAAAAGTTACCGATTCGAAGGGATTGCTTGAATCCTTCCTGGTGTGTGCTGGAAATGAACAGGACGAGGTTCAACCCCAGGAGAAGGAGTGTTTGTATGTGGCGGGGAGGGGGGAAGGGAGGCGGCAGCAGAGCCAGAGTGGTGCCTGGCTGCCTCCCCTCGAATTCCAGAGCTCGCCATGGACCCATCGGCTCACCCGAGGAACTGTGGGGGCTCAAACACACACACACGCCCCCCCGCCCCCCAAGCCAGCGTGAGGGCGGAGGGCGAGAGAGGCAACACACAGATTCCCTGGAAACCACACAAAGAACCAGGAGCCCTTTTAAAGCCCGGGGCCTCGTTCCCGACGCTTCCACGGCAGGAAGCAAGCTCCCGGCCTGCCCCGAGCGGCCTCCCCCGGGGGAGAGGGGTACCGAGGACCCCCCTGGCTTCCCCCGGGGAGGGGCGAGGGGCTCCCCCGAAGTATGTGTGTGTGAGGAGGGGGGGTTAGGCCGCGGGAGGGCCGGGCCCGGCGCCCCTCAGGCGAGGCCCGTTGGCGGCGCGGGCCTCCACCCCCCCTCTCCGTGTCCCCGTCCCCCTCCAGGGTGCCGGTACCGGTGCAGGGGGGGGGTTGTCTCACCTGGATGACCTCGTTGACCTCGCGGATACACTCCACCATGTGCTGCAGGATCTGCTCGGCCGTCAGCACCTCGTAGCGATAATCCTCCTCCTGCTCGGGGCCGCCGCCGCCGCCGGGGCCCGGCCCGCCGCCCAGGCCGCCTCCACCGCCGCCGCTGCCGGGCCCCAGCCCTCCCGTTTCACCGCCCAACAGCCCGTCGCGCTCCCCGCCGACGCGCAGCCCGGGCTCCACCAGCTCCACCTCGCCCAGGTCCAGGTTATCGTCGGGCTC